GACAGCACAGGTTTTGTGCACAGCAAAACACCAAATTCTACATGCAATATTGTTATTATGCTGATTTCATAAGCGTAGCTTAGTCTGGCACAAAGAAACAAAATCACTACACTATTATTTTCGCTCACATGACTAACTTGTTACCCATAGTAGATGTATGTGCATTGCATGTTAAGATAAAACAAAAATAATAAAAATGTTGCTCTTTTTTCTTCTACTATTGCCAATCAGACCCAGAACTTTTACCAAACGTGATGAAGGGTGTTCCCTCAGGGAGGCCTTGTGCCTTGAAAGTCTGTTGGGACTTAAACTCAACCCAGACTTCAAGTGAAACTAGTACATATGACTCATCACTATTAAAAAAAAGGGGGGGTGTATGTCAAATGAAAAGACAAATCAAATAAATGGGAAAGAAGTGCCAACACCAAAACTAGGATTCCATCCACAACAGTCCTTGTTTTGTTTCTGGTGGAACAAGGAAGGACGATCACTGCAGACATTTATTGCCAGAGACTTGATTTAGTAAACAAAATATTATGCAAAAAATTAAAAAGAAAAAGACGTTATTCTTCAGTATGACAATGCAAAAATAAATAAGATCATTAAAAATGGAGTTTCTTCTACATCTTTCATACTCACCAGATTTAGCACTTAAAGATTATCACCACCACCACCCCCATCTCTGATCACTAGAGTATTTTGCAAGTGACCAAAAATTCAAAAACAAAGTTTAAAATAGTCTTGAATTTTTTTTTTAAAAGCAGAGAAAACCCCATATTTCTTTAAATATGGAATTGAATATTTGCCTTCCTGCTGGGCTGTAACTGTTGAGAATGAAGGCATTTACATTTTTAATAAATAACATTTAAATAAACTTAAATTTATTTTTATATCCTTTCTGGTAAAAGAATTACTTTCCACACATCTTACCATATACCCCCCCCCCAAATACAAAACACAATGCTAGGTTTTTATTACATTAGAACAGATGGGACAGTTGGCATTGGCCGACTGCCTGTAAAGAGGCAAAGGAAAGACCTTTTGTTAAAGGATACTAATATAGCCAAGTTCTTTCATTCTGTTCTCTTATAAGCACATTGTGTACACTAGATGAACAGCCATACATCTATTACACATATTCAACAGGAATTTAAAAAAAAAATTAAATAAGTAACTTGAAATAGACTCTACATTTTTCATACACAGAGCAAGTCAAAAGAAACACCCAGATAAGAGGAACTCTTGTTAATATTTGTTCTTGCAGTTTTTTTTTTTTAGTTTTTCAGGTTATTGCTAAGAGTTTGGAAATTTACTGAATCTGTACCAAATTGACCAATGAATTACCTTTCAATGAATCAACAAATTGTGCTCATGAAATATTTCTACAAATGTCATGGAAATCAATCTATGGAAGCAGCTGTAAAAACAAAACTTGACTGTGTGTGTGAGATATATATATATATATATATATATATATATATATATATATATATATATATATATAAAAACACATACACTAACTTTTTTTTTTTGTAGGAGAGTTACACAACTGAAAGTTACAATTTATAATAAAAAAAAAAGCCTGGTTTTCTTGCTATTGTCTTAAAATCAAATATACACCTGACTATGTCTTAGTGCAATAGCGAGGTGCTGCCTGAGAAACAGATCCCCAGTCCCAAAGTTAGCTGCTAATTTCTATCCAAATGATAATGGCCCCACTGAGGGCTAACTGTGCTGTATCATAAACAGGATTTGTTAGAGAAAGTGACTAGTTTTAAATGATAAAAGATTATAAATGATGACTTTACACTTAGCTTTCTCAAGGTGATCAGAATTAGTCATTGATAGGAGCTGGTATCAGAATTATAACATTTCTTAGATATAATTAATGTATTTCACTACTCTTCTCCAATTATATAATAAAATAACTTAGATAGCATTCTTGCTGGTTGGAATTTAAGTAAATCTTAGTTCTTCAGTTGAGTGCAATAATAAAGTTTCTTGGGAGAACTCTGAAAATAAGTACCTTCTAAATTTGGCCCTACTTTAAAAGATGCAAGATTTCCAGTCTTCAAAAGAAGGAACAGGCAATCAAAATTTCCTGATCTTCAACATTGGATTGCTTTAAGTACTAAAGCAGTTCCTTTGAACAGATATAAAGACAGTTGATACTTTTATCATACAGATGCAACTTATCTTATAAGTATTGACTTATTGGAGCTACTTGGAACTATATGTGTAGATTTTCATTCCCATAGAAAACTTTGCTTGCAATGAAATCTCAGCTGGTTCACTGATCATTGAAGCACACTTAAAAGACGCATTAGTTACTTTTCTTTAATATGAAGCATTTTATCTTCTACAACTTGTACACCAATTTACCCTTTTTTTTTTTTTTTTTAAATCCCAAAAATAAAGTATCAGCTTCTAATAAGCTCACTTTCAAAGACTTAGCCTTAACACAAATTAGCCAGAGAAATTCCAGAGAAATTCTACCACACCTTCCTGTCCAATTCTGCCACACCATCTTTGAATGTTTTAAGGGCTCAAGTTTTGTTGGAAACTTATTTTTATTATTCTTCAATGTGCTGTGTCTCTTCAGGACACAGGTAATTATGGTTTTCCATTTCCTTTCCTTTGTAGCTGTAAGCAATACTAGTCCCCTTACTATCCTTCTCAGTTCATGTTATGCTATCCATTTACAAGAGCTCACTAAATAGGTTACTCACCAATCCTCCCCACCCCTCTTGCCTTCAATAATTCTCCAAGCCCTCTTTCCTCACTATGTGTCACAGAAATGTCAACTGTTTTTTTGATTGTAAGTACAAGTTCCCTTTTTGCTCCTATTCTCCTTGTCGTTCACATCTTCTGCCCATGGCATTATCAGTATCCTTCTGTAGAACCACATCTGTTGCCTGAAGTCTATTCTTCATCTGTGAGGAAAATGTTCAGTATTCACCACCATATTTCATCTGATGATTTTCCCCCACTATAGCAAACTTTACAAAAAAGCCATGATCAAAATCATTAGGCAATGTCTGTTAAATAATAATTGAAAAAAAGAATATGATTAAAAAGATTCACATGTGAAAACCTAATATTAATAAAGACTTAATACAATATCAGTTGCATGTCATTCTTATGACATCGGTAAACTAGTTATAAAATAATCAAATTATTAGTTTCTGCCTAATGACTCCTTTTGTCACTTATGAGAGGAGTGCTGAAATTTCTTGATGCCAAATATTTCTTAAAATCAGACCAAACAGAATTCCTTTGAAAAGACAACTTTGTCAAGCTGAAAACTTTCCAGAGAAGCCTATTGGGGTTTAACTATAGGCTCATAAAACTTAAAATTTTGTTGATTAATAACTGTCATAATTATATACATACGCCTGCTATAGAGGAAAGTTTAGCAAACTAGTTTCAAAGCCTAATACTTCAGAGTTAGAGTTTCAATGGATGCCCCATTATTGTTGTGTGCCATTCTAATCTTTCATGAATTAAAAAAGTCAATAATTCTTTTTAAAACTAACAATAAATATACATTTAACACTAAATGTCTGATACTAAGGACTTATTACTTCTCAACACTTAATATTACCCAATACAAGGCTCAAAAGTTACTCAAGATAGAATATTATACTCAAAATGGTAAATGATGAATGAGGTGTGTGATATGAATGGGAGAGAAAGCAATAGGAAGTGGGAATTGTGAAGATGATAATGACTGACCTTTGACATGAAGAGGTCAAGATTGAAGTGTTTAGAGAAGCACCTACATGGCTCCCGATTTACAGCCTTTATAGACTAAATGACTGCTGTAAATAGCAAAAACCAAAACAAATATTCACCATTATGTGAGAATAGAATACAAAACTATTACACTCTTTCACTGTTAGAAATGGAAGAGACCAACAAACATATGCAGGCTAACTGATGAGATGATCCAAGTTTAGAGAAGATCAGTTTCAGATCTTATTAGAGATCAATTGCGAATTAGATTCTCACAGATTCCAATTCTTGACTGTGTTAGCAGAATATTAACACTTCCACTTCTGTGGATGTACTTATAGAGTCTTTAAGTAACTTACATTGCCAGCTGCCAATGTATGAATAATTTTTCAAGACAATGAAATGTTAGTCTCATGCTTGTATTGAAAACTAATTGGCACTTGGTGTTATTGGAAGTGGGGGGGGTGTCACTTAGCTTAGAATACACTGCAAAATAGGCTAGAGTAACCAAAAGGATGGTTCTCATAAGAAATCACCATCAACATCTTTGCAGTAGTTTCATTTCAGTAAATGACATTTTCTTATTCAACCTAAAATGGTTCAGCACCACCAGGCAACAATGCTGCATTGAAAGTGTTAAATTTATAATTCAACCAACTGACAACTTCAATTTTCTAGTTCAGTATAAAGATACAATCTTATAATGGAATACCATACCTGTTTCTGTTGACGAGTTTATTAACTCAGTCAGATTTATTAATAATTGACATTTTTTTTTTATTTTTATTAACCCAAGCAAGGCAATAATGCCACTAAAGTGCAAGGGGCTACTGAGAGTGAAAGAGAATGGAAAGACTTTAGAAAGAACTGGAAATCCAATCCTAAGCAAAAATAATGGATAAACCTCTACTCCTGTTCGAAAGGCTGGGAAGGAATGTGACCTGGGCAACAAGCAAAGTTATCTACTCCTATTGAGGAAAAAATAAAAAGTAAATCGTAAATAAAATTACAAAGTTTAGGCAAAGATGTTGCATATAAGGAAATAAGGATAAAACAAATAAAAAGAATAAAAGATAAAATTAAGAAATGAGAGTGCCATCAGGTTTCACGTGTGGGATTGACATCAAATATATGCATTTCATTATGCAGCTTAGGAATCTGTTGGCACATTTATAACAATTAAGTTTTGACTTTGTATAAGTTGTGATACCTTTCTTCAAGTAAAAATTGATCAGAAAATTAATTTATTCTTGTTCCAACAGATT